ATCAAGAATTAAAAGCCGGTATACCCCCTTCGTACGCGAAGTCGTCGGAATAAAGAGCCTTTCGAGCCACCGAAGTCCAATTTCATCGGAGGTCCATCCATTCGGACTAACTTCAAACCGCCAGTCATCTGGAAGGCCGTCGAACCAAGATTCGAGGAAGACTTTGCCTTTAAAAATCACACACGGAGGAAGGGCCCATCCAGAAGCATTCGTACATTCAACCACTGTCACCCATTCACGATTTCCAGGTTGTAAAACAGGCCTCCGACTATAGTATTCACTCCGCGCAATAACCTTCGCAGTTGCAGTCAATCCCATCGCGAAACCAGTTTCGTCAAAGTTATAGATATCGTCGGGGTCGATTCCAAATTGAAGGATCGTCTTTTGAACCAGATTAAACCACTCCCTAATAATTTTAGGGTCTTCGCATTTCGCACGCTCGTAATTATACCGTTTCGAGAATCGGGGGGAGAGGAGAGGATGTCGTTTTACGAATTTCGTAACCCAATTTTGGCCGACCGAAAGAACCGGGGTAGTTCCACGCTTTTGAAGAAGAAGGTCCGCCATTTCTCGTACCATAGAGGGCCTAGGGGCTGCTCCACGTAGATCCATAGAGAGAATCCATTTTTCAAGAGATTCTTCCTCAGTCTCTGTCAATTTATGTGAATTTGCGCGTGTAGTGCTTCGTTCGGTATGGCCGTCAAGACGATCGCGTAGGGTAGAACGGGGTATATTGAAAGTACGGGCAGCGGCAGCAATAGTACGAATTTCTTGCTTCTTAATAGCCTGAATAGCTAATAAAAGCCTACCCTCTTGCTCTATTGAATTTTTAGAGCTTTGGGAGCGAATTGGTGGCATAGTGGGTGGTTGAAGAAGAAGGGATTAAATTAATTGACGCGTTTTGGGTGAGGTGGCGGCTCGGTGGTGGTGGCGGCTCGGTGGTGAAATACGTTATAGAGAAGAAACAGATTATTAACATACCGCTATCAAGATATTGTGTTATTTCATTACCAGCTGGCTTCGTAGATATCTTGTTACTCTTTAGCATCTTGTTTAGCCTAGAACCAGAAGCTATTGTTGGAGTATTGGTCGATCCATGACTTGTCGTAAGACGCTCTTGATACGGAATCAATAACTCCTGGAACGATTTCCGGTAGGTATCACGCCAGTGAGGCTCCCAATTATCAGATAAGAAGAATTGAAATCTGCTATCAGGTGCTAGCATTGTCCTAACTGCATAGATATGTCCTTTGAGATTGTCAGTTTGAGAGTAGTACTCATCAAGCTTTAAGCGACCGGCTGTGAGTGCTTTAAGCATATCTGACTTCCATGGAACACGTTTGCGTTTGAGTAGTGCCTCTGCTTCGAAAAAGTGATCAAAAAGGGCATTGTAAAGCTTGAAGATAAGATGTGTCGTAACCTCCTTTGTCTTCGAGAGTTCTGTTGTATAGTCAAAGAATGGCCGAGTGATTTGTAGAAGATAGTCGATTTAACGCCATTCTTGATTATCAAGCAACATCTCCTCACAGTCATACTCCTCACAGAAGGGCTGGAAGAAACTGCGTAGTTTCTTTACACGACGAAGCATTAGGAATGTAGAATTCCACCGAGTCCTCACATCCTGGATTGGAATAAGCTGGGGTCCCTTTTCTTGAAGTCGGAGAAAGGCCGCCTGGCGTTAGGGACTTGCATGGATATACACAGTAAGATAGCGGACCTTATTTAAGGTATATGAGATCCTCTGTGTCTGATGCCGAGCATTTACCTTTACTGCGGATGACTTCTGGTCAGTCCACTTCGTTTCTGTATTCTCATTTAGAGGAATAGCCTTCAGACGATCAAGGAGCTGGTTTAAACATAGCTGGATAACATGAGCAAGACAGGGTATTCGGATTACTGTCACATCGCTAGAGAGCGCCTGCTGTATAGCATTAACCATTGTCTTGTTATTGGTAGCGTTATCAGTTATGACTCTAAATACCCGATCCTGGATATGATGCTCAACTAGAGTTTCAAGGACTATACCACTTAGATTCAAACCAGTATGAGAGCCATGAAGTGGTTTAAATCCAAGTAGAACCTCTTAGTATACCTAATTACTATCAACAAAATAGCCAGTGATAGCCATAAACGCCTGGTTATATGGAGAAGTCCAGTAATCCAATGCAATTAAGATTTTTGCGTCGTTGGGTAGCGTTTAGAGGATAGACTTCTGTCGTTCTGTAATGATATCACGGAGGCGACGGCGTATTATAGTAGCGGAGGGTATTAGGGGGGTGGATGGTGCAGAGCGGGCTAATCGGAATAGCTTATGAAATGTTGGATGTTTAATAAGGTGGAATAGAAGTCGATTGAGGGTAAGAAATTAAAGAAGATGCTCTTCCTAAACTGACTGTGAAAAAGGAGCTTCCGATTGGCCGTTATCCTATGTATCCAAGAGTGTTACTAAAACCTAATAACTAAATAAAATATAAGGGTTTACTACCTTTTAAAGGAACCTGGTAATTTCTCCTTTCCCTCCCTGCTGAGCTTTACGACAGCCTGCTGTCTTTAAATGCTTTAACATTATTGATGTGCCATGATAGCCCTTACCACTAGGCGATAGAGAATAAGGATGCTCCAGGATTTTTAAGCAGCGCTTACACATCACCTTTAGCGCACCATCTTTGGTATGGGCAACTTGGTCGAAGTTACTCCATATATTTGAATTACGATTTGAGTCCCAGGAAAGCTTGCTTTTCTGCCTATAGTCGGTTTATAGCCACCAGTCAACCCATTCTTTATATGCCATATCGTCATAAAGCACATATGCCTTTCTCCGATCGGGGCTAACGCGGGTAAGAGAAGGTGGGATCGGTAGAAGGTTAGAGGGCCGAAGGAAGTCGGTATTAATAGCATCAAAAGGCTCGATTATGAGTTAGCTACCAGGTGGGGTTAGAGCCCGAGAAGAGGGAATAAGATAGCTAAGGTTATCTGTATCCCCATCGAAAAGGGTAGGTAGGAAGTCAGAATACTGGCTTTAGGACATGATTATTATAAAGATGAATACTGCAGGGGATATAAGGGGGATAATCAGAGGGAGTATATACTTATAAAAAGGGGGTTTCAGACAATAGACACGTAAATAGGCCAAGTAAAGTAGATATATCAAAAGATATAAGATATAAGATCAATTGATTGGCTACATAAGCTATATTTAAATGGGTCCGACCTAACAGAACCCAATAGAACCCATTCATAACCCATCATAACCCATTATAACCCATCATAACCCATTAAAACCCATCAAAACCCAATATAACCCATTAATAACTCATTAATAACCCATTAAAACCCGAGAGCACCCATTCACAACCCATTCCCCCCGAAGATCACTCAGAAATATTTCATCTAGAGTACACATAAGAGTATAGAGATCATTTATAAACCACCTCAATTTACATAGTACATTAATTACTAGATATATTAATTAAGAATATAAGAAAAGAGATATTTGGCTTTAAAATGATATTAATTATATAGAAAATAAATTAAGATTAAGAGATTTCTATTTCTATTCATGTTTATGTTCAAATATGTATAGACTCACCTCTGCCACCAATATATATTTCTAACAGTCTACATTCAACAAATGCATAAATTGATAGAACACCACTATACCATGATTAATCTCAATTTTTATTGGTAATTAATATAATATGAAGTAAATTGGCTTTAAATTCAAAGTAATTATATAAAATTTCTAACTTATTACTGTGATAATGTAGCAATGTTCGACAGACAAACCGGAACAGTTATAAAAAACAGTAATTTTGTTCGATGACTTAGCATTGTTATGAACGCCAAGACCCATATTTTATGCCAAAATGGGTTCAAATGGGTTATTATTGGGTTATTGGGTTTAACCCATTGGGTTTTGGGTTGGGTTGGGTTATGGAAGGCGGAACCCAAAACCCAATGGGTTGGGTTTTGGGTCGGAGACTCCGACCCAAAATGGGTTCTGCCGAAGTCTAATCCTCCTAGAAGAGAGGGGATAATTATAACGGATAAACATCCTTATAACATGGAGACGGAGTCACCTAATCGCACCCGCATTAATCACGTATCAGGAACGAACTGCTAAGAAATAGTCACATGGCTCCCACGTGAACATAGCGACACACATAGTCCAGGATTCCCCTAAATCCCCTCTTCTTTTAGCAAGAGTTAGTCTTGGCACACATAGATAATACATTCTCGTCTCCTCTCCAAGTCATTGTATCTTACCCGGTTAACAGATCTTACACCTGGAAATCGTAAACTCTTACATTAAAGACTAGTTATACTGCGGTATTATATATTAACGCACTCGAAAAGGGTCATATTCTAAAGTACGAACCTAGTTTTATCTTCTGGTAAGATAACGCTAGGATCTATACCGTAATCCTCATACGAGAGTGGTTTAAAACTTATAGGGTATACGTCGAGGAGTGGCCTATATACTCACCCGATTTAAACCCCATTAAACCTATGTGGCGGTAGTTAAAACTAAAGCTTTTTAAGTTATATCCTGAGCTGATACATATGGGCCGGTCAGAGGAGGATTAGGCGGTCTTTAGAAGGTGTATACGGCATGCTTAGGACGAAATACCGCAAGAGAAGATAGATAGGCTGGTTTTAAGTGTAGAGAGACGTTACAGGGCGATACAGAAAGCGAAGGGATACTATATAAAATATTAAAGGCTTTTTTTTCAAGCGAGAGATCTATAGGGTTTAAACCTATCTTTTAAATTTTGAATAGCTTGAGAAATGGTGCTGCTATGCGGTGATATGTAAAGCTATATATTCCATGAGGGTGGGGTGAAAATGCGGGTGGGTGAATACTTTGTGACAGTATCTGTATGTAAAGTAAAGATAGACGAACAAGACATAACTATCACATTTATCCCAACACCACGTGCAAATATCTTAATAGAGCAAGATAAGTGTAGGGTGTACACACACTCACCCTAGATCACCCACTAGACCCGCGTGAAGAAGTAAAGATACGCGGTCTTCTTCATCGCTTCGATATCTTCGAACTTGACAACCTTTTCATCATTGAACATCACCCATGACAGGTCACCTTGACCTGTCAATGGTTTGCGAATCAAGGCAACATAATGTCTAGCATGTGTTAGTTTAACCAAAGGAAATGAGAACGGGGCCACCTACCCTGCATGAACTGATGTGCCTTTGTGGCATACAATCGACCTTAATTCATAGCGAGCAGGTACGCTGGTGAGCCCAACCGAGCCATCATGAGACTGTGCGCTGTGGTCGACACTCGGGGTTTCCCTTTCCACCACATCATCCGGGTGAGTGAAAACCCAATCTAATGCCCTGTTAACATCGCCATCGGTCGCAGCCAACGCTCGCTGGGCACGAGACGCCTCAATTCCCATATCACCTAGCTGGGCAATTTTTGTCGCATCTTGCTCACTAGAACTAGAGGCGCCGATTCGATCAAGAGCCAGCGGTTCATCGATGTCCGGATCTTCCATGTGGGCAAATAGCCAATTCATGGCAGTTTCCGGATCTAAATTACCAGTGGCATGCAGAGCTTTCTCACACCTCACAGTAGGGAACCCCATGCCCATGAGTTGGCCAAGAGCTTCCGGATTCGGGACAAATGCGGTGGGTTCTTCAATATCCGGAAGTAACTCCTCACCCGCATCATGCTCACCAGCAAGGTAAGAGCTGAAGTCTAATGGCTTATCGTCGACCTGCACAGGGATATCCAACTTTGTAGGAACCCAGTTGACGAGCTCAAACCGACGAGCATTGATCACCAATTCCCGAGGCAATGTTTTGAAAGACGACTGCTTCGAAAAACCATCTTGGCTGCCACAAGCAGGGCATGTAAGCTCAACGACCTCCGCCGAAGTAAAGATGTCTAGACACTCTAACAAATCCACAGACTCATATTTCTTTCCTGTCTCGTCAGAAGTGGTGGCAAGACGTGCAGGAACAGCAACCGAAATGTTGTCCTGCTCATCCACTTTATAACGGACTTTCTTGCAATGCAAACACTGAAGACGCTGCTCAACTTGGAAGCGGAAGTGCTCTACCGGGTTAATCTGCGGACTGGTGTGCTTCGATAGGGCGACCGACTTGAATAGATGAAGAAGGAATTCAAATGCATCTTGCTGTCTCATGGTTGCGAACTCCTCATGACCTTGCCCAATAAGATACTTGAACATTGCTGGTGCTAAACCTTTCTGATGAACGACTTCTGGGATGTCTGCGGACAACATAGCGCGAGAATCAGGTTGGGAATACCGGCCTGAGAGTAGACCGTCGGCAAGCTTTTGCATTTGTGTCTCAAGGTCCTGTGCTGGTGCTTGGCAGAGTGGTGGTTCTTCTGATAGTTGATAGTATCGCTCACGAAATCCGGTTACCGAAAATATGCATTGCATGATACTGGAGAGATAGCAGCTGTTTCCGAGATTCGCCAGGCCTGTAAATGCAGGCCCAAAGACTGGAGCCAGCTCCCGGCCATCCTCGGTTGTCATGGAAAATTCCCATTTGAGATTGTGCTCGACCTGCATTTCCATCAGACTCTTCTCCGTCTTTTCACGTCCAGCCAAGTAGATTCCCCAGTGTGCAAGGTGGGTTGCCAGTTCTGGGTCTACTCTTTCTTCGTTGCACTTATAGCAGTAGACATCAGCGGAGCCTTCTGCTGTGATAGAGCCGAGCTTGACAGCCACGGCATGTGATGTTGAGTCTGCGTGAGTAAGCCCATGGGAGTTTCCCTTGCTTCCACCGAATTGATTTCGCCCACAACCCTTGTTCCCACATTCCAGACATAGCCAGAGGTTCTCGCCCATGTCACACTCTGAGCAGTGGCCCAAATCTGCAATTTCAGGTTAGCACGAAGTCCAGTTGAGTTTTGCAGGAAATCAATACCCGTTGACGTGGCTTGCGTGTTGTCTTGTTGAACCAGACAGAGTGTATGCTCGCAAGGAACAAACTCTTGCTCCCAGGCTTTGACTTCTTCCTTTTTCGAGAAAGTCATTGCGTTCATAACACCTTCGATGACAACAGGAAGCTTGCCACTGGCTTTATCCACATTGTTCTGGTTGCATGAATAGCAGACCACTGACGTAGCAATGTCATACCTGTCCTCTTCTGTTTCAGCTGCGATGGAAAGCTTTGATATCTTCGGGGGAGGCTCGTCGCGCTATAAACCAGAGGTGTGAGAATCATTGATCACAAGCTCGACAAGTATTTGGAGGCTCTACCTGCACTTTCTTAGGGGTCCTTCGAATGTTCAAAGCCAGTGAATGACCAAATCTCTTGTAGTGAAGCAGGGCATGGTCTCTGTTTCCAGCACATCCACCATTGAAGCAATGTAGACAAACGTTTAGACCGGCATCATCGTCCTTGCAGGGCCAGAGTCAGACCAGATGTGGAGTAGTATAGGAACTAAGGTGGCTGGCATACAATAGAATCAAAGCACTGAGTGCAATCTTCTCGATAAACTGCCTGGGAGGATCCTGGCGGATTCAGATCTATAAGGTGTTTTTAGCTCGATTTGTCCTTCGATTATCAAGGTGATGTCACAAACCCGCAGCATCGGTATGGACGCAAGAGGCCATATCCGGAGAGGAAATCTCGAGGACTCAACAAAGTGTCAATAAAGACCGGCTTAGCTTTTGATAGAGGCTTAGGAAGCGTGACAGTATCCCATTGAAAGCAAAGATGAGAAAAGAGAATATCAGATACCGCAGATCAAGCCAAAGCTACGATGCGTGGGGTCCATCCTCACCGCCTGCACGTGCTGCTATCAATATTGTCCTGAGGCATCAAGTCATGTGGTGGGGGGCGGCACTGCCACTTAACGCGTTATTTTTCTCAACACGCGTTCCAACCTTGTCCTACAACTACTTTACGACTTGATCTGGACTTGAGCAAGCCTGGTTTTCTTTTTTCTTCTTCCTGTCCCTTGATTCATCCATCCACTCCATTTCTTTCAGTTTACCCGCAGTCTTTCTTTCTTGACTGTGTCAATTATTGAAATTTGAAGTCATCACATAATGGCTTCTGAGGCAGCATCCCAAATCACCATTGGAGCTCTAAGGTTTGTATCTATTTGATGCAGTGATTCTGTATGGCAGTATAGATGTTAATCGTGTATTTACCAGTGCCATCTTTGATGAAACAAAACCCCGAGTTCTAGAGCCGATTGTTCAATGCGTTCAAATCAAGGCATTGCCAGCTCAGCCGGGCCAACCAGAACGTTACCGGGCTGTATTCAGTGATATCGCAAATTATGTTCAAACAATGCTTGCTACTCGTATGTTCTGTCCCCTTGGTACTCTTTGTAACTCATCGCTCACTGACTGGTTTAAGAAGCCAACTCGGTGGTGACAGATGGATCTCTCCGGAAGGGTTCTTTCGTGCGTCTCAAGTCATTTCAATCAAACTCTGTCAAGGGCAAGAAGTATGTAAGGCAATTCTTTCGATTTTGATTGTGCTAATTATCGCAGAATACTCATTATCTTGGATCTTGAAGTTCTAACGGAACTGGGTGAGGCTGAAAAAATCGGCGAACCCAGACCGCTTGAAGTCAAAGCCGAGGAAGAGGAAGTGGGTCAACCGACAACAATATCCAGCAATGGGTTTTACGGCTCCAAAATGGAGGGTGCACAGGTTCAGCCAAATAACCGAGCCCAGCCAATGTCTGCCCCTATGTCTACTTCCTCTGCCCATGCCACAATCTACCCGATTGAAGCCATCTCTCCGTATTCCAAAAAATGGACGATGAAAGCGCGATGCACGAGCAAGTCCAACATCAAAACATGGCACAACAAGAATGGTGAGGGTAAACTGTTCAGTGTGAATTTACTGGACGACAGTGGTGAAATTCGTGCAACCGGTTTTAATGAGCAGTGTGACATGCTCTATGAACTCTTCCAGGAAGGAAGTGTTTATTACATTTCGAGTCCCTGTCGGGTCCAAATTGCCAAGAAACAGTTCACAAATCTCAACAACGATTATGAGCTCACATTTGAGAGAGATACCATCGTTGAGAAGGTAATATCTATTCCTTTATAAACCAGATGCGTCGCTCACATTATATAATAGGCTGAGCAGCAAAATGATGTCCCCCAGATTCGATTTAACTTCACCACCATTGCTGATTTGCAGACCGTTGAAAAAGACACAACCACTGATGTCATTGGTGTGCTGAAGGATGTCGGGGAGACTTCCCAAATTACAGCCAAAAGTACCGGAAAGCCCTATGACAAACGTGAGCTTACACTGGTCGACAACACAGGATTTTCTGTCCGTTTGACAATTTGGGGTGCATCTGCAAACCATTTTAGTGTGGCGCCTGAGTCTGTTGTTGCCTTCAAGGGAGTCAAAGTTTCTGACTTTAATGGAAGAAGTTTGAGCCTTCTGAGTTCGGGCTCAATGACTGTTGACCCTGATATCGGGGAAGCTCACCGACTCAGAGGTTGGTATGACGCTCAAGGCAGGTCAGAGAACTTTGCATCCCATGCTTCCTTGTCAAATGTGGCCAACTCAACAGGCAAAAAGGATCCGTTCAAAACCGTTGCTCAAATTCGCGAAGAGCAGCTTGGCATGTCTGAAACCCCTGACTACTTCTCTCTGAAAGCAACTGTGATCTACATCAAGCAGGATTCCACCTGGTGCTACCCTGCCTGCCTTTCTGAAAACTGCAACAAGAAGGTAACGGAACTTGATCCAGGACAGTGGCGATGCGAAAAGTGTGATAAGACCCACCCCAAGCCAGAGTACCGCTTCATCATGCCTATTAGTGTCAGCGACCATACTGGCCAGCTTTGGCTCAGCTGTTTTGACGACACTGGAAGAAACATCATGGGCACATCTGCTGATGAACTAATGCAACTTAGCGAAGACGATCCAAGTGCTTTTGGTGAGGTCTTCCAGGCAGCCAATTGCCAGACCTGGAGCTTCAGGTGCAAAGCCAAGATAGACAATTTCGGCGACCAGCAGCGGTAAGAATGATCGAATGACTATAATTCTAGTAATGTGAACATCATACTAATTGTGCCATCCAGTGTGCGATATCAGGTCTCATCCTCCCAGGCAATCAATTACTCTGATGAAGCCTCCCGCCTTGCCGACATCATCAGCTCATACAGCCTTGAGTAAGTATAGACAAAGTGAGCAAATGTTTTTGTCCAGCTTTGCACTAGCTTTACTATCTTTACATGCTCTCAGGCATTTTCATCAATGTTCATGTGTATCTTTATGCTGCTCGAGCCACGCCATGATCATTTCATTTAACAGCTTCTCACCTTGACGTTGCTCTTTCCCTGCTATTTAGTACTCTAGAAAAAAAAACGCTAGTCATTCCCCCTCCCTCATCATCATTTCATTGATGAGCAATCTACTCGTGGACAATCTGGGCAGTCCACCTGAGTAATCAATCACTAGTTATGAGGCGGTAAGCTACTAAAGGCGGAAGCCAGTGGCAATACACTATTATTGCTTTTCCTTTTTCCTTTTTTTTTTCTTTTTTTTTTCTGCTGGAACAATCCAGGCAGAGAATTCAGTCTCGTGCTATTTTATCTTTTGATTCCAATAATATTCTGTTATATCATCTCACTAGAATCTTCGTCATGGGCAAGCGAAGCCATCTCGAGCCAACTGAGCAGCGACCGAAGAAAAAGTCCAAGTCCGAAAAGCCCGAAAAAGCTTCTAAAGATAAGCAGGACAATGGAGATGAGAAGAGTGCATCTTATTCTGATGCCTCTGCTCTATCCGAGATCCCTCAGTCAGACATCGACAGTTTTTTGACTGAGAACGTGATTAAAATCGCTGATCCATCCTCTCCCGACGCCTCCCAATTCCGGCCAATCCTTTCGTTTGATCACTTACCCGAATGCGATGCTGGTCTGTACGCTCAATTGAAGTCTTTCCCCAAGCCAACACCAATTCAATCCACTACCTGGCCGCTTCTTTTTGCTGGCCGTGATGTGGTCGGTATCGCAGAGACTGGAAGTGGCAAGACTCTGGGTTTTGGCTTGCCGTGCCTGAAGAAATTGATTGACTCCAAGTCAAGCAAGAAGCCTTGCCAACCTAAGGCAGTGATTATTTCACCAACGCGAGAGCTTGCAATGCAGATTTATGACCAGCTTGTTAAATTCGGCGGCACTGAGAAGACTCAGGTGACATGCATCTACGGAGGTGTGGGTAAAGATGAACAGCGTCGGGCTCTTCAAAAGGCCGCCATTGTTGTTGCCACCCCTGGCCGTCTTAAGGATCTCCAGAGTGATGGGTCAATTGATCTCGGAAAGGTCACTTACCTCGTCTTGGATGAGGCAGATCGCATGCTTGACAAAGGATTTGAGCAGGATATCAAGGATATCGTCAAGCCAATGCCCGTCTCCAGGAGACAGACTGTCATGTTTACGGCAACATGGCCCCGGTCAGTTCGAGATCTCGCGGCAACCTTTATGAAGACCCCGGTAACTGTTACCATTGGCGGAGACCCATCTGCGGATCCCCGAGCCAACTTAAGGATCAAGCAAGTCGTCGAGGTTATGGATGGCCGAGAGAAGGAGGGCCGACTCATACAACTACTCACTAAATCCCAGCGTGGTCATCAATCCCCCGAGAAAGTGCTAGTTTTCTGCCTTTACAAGAAGGAGGCTATGCGCATTGAGAATCTTATCAGAAATAAGGGATTCTCAGTCGCTGGCATTCACGGCGATTTGAACCAATCAGATAGATTCCGAAATCTTGACGCTTTTAAGAAAGGCAATGCTACTGTTCTTGTCGCAACCGATGTGGCGGCGCGTGGCCTTGACATCCCGAACGTGAAACTGGTGATTAATGTCACCTTCCCTCTTACCGTTGAGGACTACGTGCACCGGATTGGAAGAACTGGACGTGCAGGGGCTGATGGTCTTGCCATCACCATGTTTACTGAAACTGACAAGGGACTGTCGGGCGGGTATGTTACTTATTTCCAACATTCTAGAAATCATCAGGGGCAATGCTAATCGCGAATAGATTGATCAATGTTCTTAAGGCAGCCAAGCAAGATGTGCCAGAGGCACTGTTGAAGTTTGGTACAACAGTCAAGAAGAAGCAGCACGATGTCTACGGTGCCTTTTACAAGGACGTTGATATGGACAAAACAGCGACAAAGATCACATTTGACGACTAATTGGTTCATTCCCACTTGGGATCTTTTCTGGAGGATCTGGAGGATAACATGTGACGAAGCCTTGTCAACTGACCCATCATATATTCCCTTTCTATGTAGACTCTGTTGTTTTCATCGGTTAGGCGTTAAAGAACAAATCAACATCAAATTAGATTCAGATCATGTACTCACATTAAGAGAGCATAGCTGCCACTTAAAGCGCATGCTTTAGTAAGTCCCAATTTTAGGCCAAACCCGCGACCCAAGAACAAACTCGCCATAGCACACAGAATGAAGCTAACAGGCCGAATGGCTACTTCACTCGTGTACAGGCTACATCCATTTCGACGGAGGTACGATTTGATAAAACTGTAACTCCAAAAAGTTCGAACCACCATGTTCACAATATTGGCCAGGACCAATCCATACGCACCCAAGTTCCCTACCTCTAGGAATATATAGGCTGCTAAGGCATAGCAGGCGGAAAATACACCCATCCACGCCGTTTGCTTCCGTATCTGTTGCGAATTTGCTGCAGATGACACGAATGCCTCGGTGATCCCATTTAATGCCAAAAATGGAATGTAGTAACAATAGACGGAGAGCAGGTCCCCGATTTTGGGAGACGCCCATTGGCGGCCTCCCAAGATATGCAGCACTTGAGGAACCATCATTGGGCCTAACGGAAATATCAGGACCGAGAGCAACTGGTACGCACGTAGGATATCAATGAGGTGATCTCTGGCGGTGCGGGCATGGGTCTTCTTCAGCTTTCCATCCTCATCAGGACTCAGTAGGGCCGAGAATAAGTTCCGACTGCTCTCCTCCAGCGGCTGGAAGATGATCCGTGCAATGAGCCCGCCGTAGTTTGACGCAAGAGAGTATATCCCCTGATCTTCTAAACCCGAAAGAGCTGCGAGCATCATAGTGTCGCCTTGCGTGAGCAGATGCTTCACTAGAGATTGGAAAAAGACATTTGCAGCAAGCGACGTTAACTGGCGTGAGAACCGTCCCAGAAAGTAGTTAGAGAGGTCCCTATAAATGGTTACCGCGTTGTTCTTCATGCTATAGCTGGGGCGATCTAAAATCAGTCTTACCTGGACTGTATACGTGTCAATAAGAAAGAGAACCGGGTAGCGCTGGTTCCTCCTAGTAGGACCACCGAATAGCCACAAATGAGGGCCAGCGAGTAACTGAGGTGACCAAGAGCAAATGGTAGCACACCGAGGTCATAGTGGACTTGAGAAGCATATATAAAGGCAGCGGATGTTACCGCACTTCTCAGAAATGCCGCTGGCATTTCAACAGCAGCACGTTTTTCATAAAGCATATGCTGCTGTACTACCGAGAAGAAGGGCTCAGTGCTGAGTTCCATGAGAGATGCAACCCCGATCAGGATCACACTGGGGTAGAAGAAGGCGGTCTTTGAAGCTTCCTCTGGGACAAAGCGCTGGTAAAGCATGGTGAACATAAGACTGAAAGGAATCCCAAGCGCGAGGCTCAAGTAAGAGACATTCACCACTGCTTGAGATGCCACAGAGTGTGAATCTGTCGTTGTGACATCCGCCTCAAGAGAAATTTTTTTGTTGTCGGGCGAAGATGGAATAGGTTGTCTTTGGATAGCCATCCGAATACTTTCCCTCGAGAAATACAGGATCGAAACCTGGAAGAGCTCCAGTTGTGCTGCTATTCCAAGCACGACCGGCGAAAGGGTGCGCAAAATCAATTGGTTCGAGGTAAAGGTAAAGATCCTGGATGCTAATTGAATCAAGATCAAAAAGCTTGTGCCCGTGGCCGATGATGCCAGAATCTGGCCCATACGGGCATCATCAGGTTTGGCTATGCCCATGATTGAAACCAGCTATGACAGTGGAATACAAGTGGACTCAGATCTAGGGAATCAAGACTTCTAGACGGGAGGTGTGAGGTTCAAGGGGTTGTAAAGGATATGGAGTAAGAAGGGTGGGGCCTACTCTAGGGGCCTGACGTTTTAGCTTAAGGCTTTTGAGAAATGGTAGATATTTGCCAGATGAAATTAAGGACGGTCTTGAAAAATGCATATCAAAGACATACCAGTCTACAATCAATCTATCATCTACGTATAATTCCACTTGGTGCCGAGGTCCCCCGGAAGTCCATACTTGCTTATGTGTAGCCCGAGATGCCGACCTTGGGTCTCCCTGAGCTCTATATAGTTACCTAGGGTACTTAGCTTTAGAGGGCTAGGTATGGCTACATAGATATGGGTATAGGCTAATCTTGAAAGTTCTTCCAAAAGAACCTGTGTTATCTGGTATGCAAAATTTTCATGGCAAAGGAAAAGAGATGCTATAGGTCAAGATCCGCAAAGCACTGTGCTTCTTCCAAGTCCTCTGGCTGCCTCCTGAGAGGTCCTGATCCATATCAATTTCCATTGGTCATCATATACAGAAATCTCCGGAGAGATCTAGCCACTGGGATGTTAATGATAGTTTGTAGATCAATATGTTTCCAGGTGCAGCCATCTTCGGGGTGTTGGTCAAGTAGGCTCTTGAACACTCTAGAATGGAGGCAGATAGAATGGATAGCCACCATTCTTGGTTTTGAAGACACTGAGGAGGAAGCTGTATGTTGCAAAAAGAACAGTTGCCCAGATCAAGACAGCCAGCTGTTGACCCTTGACATCTTCCATCCGGGGAACCTTCAGTGCGAGTGCGATCGTAGCGAAGGAAAGAACAGCGTCTGTGCGAGCAAAATGTTAATATAGGAACTCGGCATGGAAACAACGCTTGGTATCAATAAGCCTCACGATTATCACTTACAGATTGCAGCCACAATTTGAGTCTCCATCCCGAACTGATTCTGGAATCCGCCGGCAAAATAGCTAATGCCACCTTGGCCATTGCCAGCAACATATGGAACTTTTCGGATGTGGTTGAACATTTGACCACTTGTGAACAGAAGAATAGCGATAAGGCTGATCGCAGCCCAAAGGTTTCGGTTTTGGATAATTGGCAGTAAGTAGGGAGAAAGGACTGCAATCAAAGTCACAACTGCCATCAGAATGGTGATCGCCGATACAATCCGCATGTAATTTATGGGTCGAACTAGTTGCGGCTTGGGGCCCTCAGGCAAGTGACGTTCAATCCAAGAGTAGACCTGGTCGGCTGAGACCGGGCTGTTTGGGATTGACATGTTAGTGAGATAAGGGCCGAGCGCAAGAGCCCGAGTAGGGAAAGAAAAACATACCCTGTGAAATCAAACCGGAGGGGGTTCCCTTCAATCTTGGCAAAGGGACCGATGGTAGGAGGGAAGACAAGGAGTATGGGTGCAGTTTGAAGCATGAGCTGCTTAGGTTAGTCGATGTTATACAGCTCAGTCTGAGTAAAAATGCCCTACCTTTTGGAAAACGGCCTTGCCGTTATCAAAGTCAAGTGTTCCAAAGACTACCTTGAGATCATCAGGCTTGGTGCCCTTAGTCCAGCTTCGGGCGATTAGGTCCCATTCAGATTCGAAGTCACGGCATAAGAGGCAGCCAAAGCGAGGATCCGTGGCAGTCAGGATAACCACAGCATAGTAGTCTCGAGGTGCCGAGGTGAGGTCTTCATATGATGCACTGTCCAGATCAACAGGCCCCAAACGAGACAGGGATTGATATCTTGTAAACTTGTCCGGTGTTGAGCTCGCACACAGGACACCAGACACAACCGAGAACAAGAGAAAAAGGGCTGTCCAGAGCTTCATTTTGGCATGACAAGGAGCTGGACAGCTTTAAAAAGGTTAGTTATAGAGTGCAATTGACTGAAAAACTATCAATCGGTTGCAATTGAAGATGTTTGAACACGTTGAGTGATAGAGTCCAGGTGTCCACTATCAACGTAATCGCCCGGCATATCGGCTTACTTAATATATTGGCCCGGACGCCAAACGCGTCTTTCTTTGTGACGATTTATACTTTTAACATTGGATATAACAACACGTATCTTACCTAGTGTATTATTTCTATTGCCCTGGACAGGCATCATTTATTTTATAGGTCTTTTCATTCTGTTTTATTATATCGAGAAGCTGCCTTATTGTGGACACTATCGCCATGGCAATGGCCGGAGAAGCATCCGCCTTGGATGTATGTGGCTTCCCTGGATTGATGGAGATATGCCCAAGATGCTAATTTGATTATCTAGTTTGAAATGTCCACGAGGACTATGCGTCTGGAGAAGGAGTATGAGAAAACTCTTTCGGATTCCGCTCGTTTTCTGGATGGCGAGAGAGATCGCGTACAACGCATGGAGCTCTTGCTCTCGAAATTTGAGAACGAAGCTCTCCGATCGAAGCTGGAGGAAGCAAATAAGCATCTTTTGGGATTCGCAGGTGCTGATTCAGAGGCATGTGCTCAACTTCAGGAGGCTTGCCAGGAAATCGATTACTTGGAGCTTCAAGCACAGGCATCCGCAAGTGAAATTGACCGGCTCAAAGTAAGTCTTACATCAATTTGGAGGCTGAATGTATAATCCGTTATGTTGACAGCAACAGGAAGAACTCTCAATTCAGAAAAATAATTCGATGAGTTATAGCGCTGTCCTTGCAGAGAAATTCCATCTCTCCAGAGATCTTGCAACCCTACAGTCTGAGCTTGAGCGGCTCAGAGTGCAAAACGCATCATATCAAGCTATCACTTCTGAGAAACATGAGATGGAACGGCAAATAAACTCTCTGGAGCTTCAACTTGACAATGAAAAACATTCCCATGAACGTACTCAGGCCAAGGGATCACAGCAAATAACAAAAATTGCCCAGCTCTCTACTCGAGTTGAAGAGTTGCGGAATGAGCTAGCGGGAGAATTGCGAGCCAAACAGCAGCAGGAACAGGATAACCATCAACAGAACTCGGCATGGGCTAATCAGCGGGCGACGTTTGAAGAAAGTATTGATTCGCTCAAACAGCAATTGCGGTCAGCCAGGGACAAGCTCCAGGAAGCCCATATTGAAATTCAGCAGCTACGCAGCCTCAAACCACACGCAGGAAATGAATCTGAATCTAG